CCCCAAAACCCCAAAACCCCAAAACCCCAAAACCCCAAAACCCCAAAACCCCAGTTTCGGGAAAAAATATTGAAAATTTATCAAACACAGATTATTAATAGTCTTTATTTAGAACTTATTTTTGTGTAAAAATTTGAAATCGAGGTTACTACCTCATTCACATTCTCCATGTCGATCTCTGGATTCACCCATTTGTACCAGTACTTAGATGGTTTGTCAAATTTGTCCTTAGACATGGCGAGTTTAATCTTTTTGAAGTCATAATACTTTTTACCGGGATAACCAACGTTCATTGTCTGAGCCCCCAATAATATGCAAGCAAGGACTACATCACAAGGCTTGTGTACAAGACTTGCAACTGTATAGAAGCTGTCATTGAGGAAGAATATTGCAGCTTTCTTTACTTTCTTTAATTCGTCTTCATCTGAACTGAAAAGTTTCTGAAGGAACGAATCCATTAAACTATAGGACTCTACTGCTTCGTGAAGAGGTAAAGTTTTACATTCTGTGATCAGAAGTTCGATCAGAAGAGCCTCATTTTTCAGTAATTTCCCATCTATCTCTTTTAATTTCTATAAATTAGCTAATTTACTTACCTTTTCATCTAGAGGTTTCGGAATAACACCTCTGTGTACGAACATAATCTTATAGTAGCTCTCACAGTAATACTTTGTCGCAATGTATTCATTAAATATTTTAGAACACAGGAACAAAGCAGCAATACAAATCCCAAACCTGTCATAGTTTAAGTATGATTTATTTGTAAAAGAAATAGCTTGTAAGCCACATTGCACCTGACATTGTCCTCTGAGTGCTAAAATAAATAAAATTCAAAAACTTACAATTTCGACTGGTCCTTCATGACTTCAGCCATTCCAATAATAGCTCTACAGTTACCAATCCTAAGGTCTTCTTGCATCTCAGTTGAGATCTGTTGATATGTATTAATGTTCTTGTTAATCTCTTCTAATTTGAGCATTCTGAGACCGCTATCTCTTTAGCAAATATATAGATAAGCTTACCATTGATCAGCGGATTCCATTTTTCAATAAAAGTGGACTAAATTGGGGTTTTGGGGTTTTGGGGTTTTGGGGTTTTGGGG